TATGGATATCTGTTCCTATCTTTTGCCCTGTTATTTTAATTGCATTGGGTGCAAGCATCTTTGAGAAACCAAATTATCATATTCCTTTTCAGTTTTTGCCCTTTATTTGCTTACGGCATGGGCAAGTGGAAAATGGCACTTTTTGATGGGTCCCACATAAAAATATTCCCATATGATTGAGAGGGTTTTTTGTGTCCCCACCCACATGTATGGTATATGTAACCTCTAGTTTCAACCATCAAATATGAATAGATGGCTGAGATGGCTTGAGTCACAGTATCATAAGTTAGCAATTAACCATCAGATTTTGATCAGTGCTTTATTTTTATTTTTATTGTTTACAAATAATACTGAAACAAAATTTGGACATGCATAGATCTAACAAGGGCACACATGATAAAAATATTAAAAAAATATTTCTGATGATAAAAAATTACCAGAATGCCCTGAAAATTTCAGGGGCATTTTGGTACATTTATTTTTATATAAAATATTTTTTTTTATATTTTTTCTAGGTCCGCCCTAATTTTCTGATGGGTCGCCCTAATTTTTTGATAGGATGCCAAACTTTCATAAAAAAAGTTTTGTGGAAAAAAAATGAAAAATAAAACAGTATTTGACATAATATTGTGGTATGAATAATCGTAGCCATTCGATTCAAATCGAACAGCTAAGAAGTGGGGTTGCATATAATTTATATGTTGTCGAAACATTTCCCCTATCAATAATTGATATGTTGTCGAAACATTTCCCCTATCAATACACGTGAAAATATTCCTACACAAATGGTACCTAGTATCCATTGCAATTTACAAAGGAATAATCTAAAGGTCCCATATAAATAGTCCTTCATGCAAATAAAGATAAGATATAGTATAGATAAATAATGCATTTATCCATTGAAGGGAATAATCTAGCTTATAATGTCAGCAGGCATTGGTTTAGGGTATGTTCTATATCTTGGTTGTTGCCAACTTATCCACTATATTTGTGACAAAAAACAAAAAATATTAACCAAAATTAAGGGTTGTTAGAATATGTTTTTCTTTGGTTATATTATTCTAAACATAAGGTATATGAAAAGGTGAAATTCAATAGTAACTGATATAATGTTTTATCATTTCTCTTTTCCACCTTTTTATATCCTTTTTTAACAGGTGATGCCAAAAAAAAAAAAACACACACACACAAACTCACACAAAAAAAATGAAGAGCCTCTATTTCTCTCTCTATACAATATCATTCAATTCAAATGCCATATCCCAAACTCTACACATTCTGTGAAAAACAGCAGTCATTATGTTCTCCATAACAAGCACCAAAGAATACATAGAAACCAGCATAGGAACCTCCCATAGCCCTAAACTCCTTGACATTTTATGCTCAAATAGACACTCTATAAAACCCAAGTTCAGTTTAGTTATCAGTGCCATTATCAAAGCTGTTTGCCTTCTCTCTCTTATAAGATTGTTGGCCCTGATCATGGCTTCAAAGCCATAGGAATCTGCCTCCAAAACAGGCAAAATCCCAGCCAAATTACATACAATAATAATATTTGCAAGCCCAATGCAATAAAAAACACAAACCACTCCTAAAACAGCCCAAAAGACCCACATTTTTTGACCCAAATGCAATGAAAAAAATGCATTGAAAACCAGTTTAAGGAGTATAAGAAAAAAGAAATGAAACCCAACTGTGATAATTTTTTCCCAAACACAGGTATGAATCATCTTTGCCCATATCAAACCTCCTCTTATGTCATGGAGTGTGCTTTCTATGCTTGGTTTGATGCCATCATAGCTATCTTTGACTGCTTGGGAAACAGCAGCCTTGGCCAGGAGAGAGAAAGTGATGTAGAGAGGGAAACACATGATAAAGGAGAGAGTGGAGTTTGAAAGCATGAGGAAGAAAGTTTCAGGGAGAGAGACCCCATTCATTACCAGTGTGTTGGTAATGAATCCATGGAGAGATGAGTTTTTGTTTGAGAAGTGGTGTTTGAGGTGATAAGAGAGAAAGAGTGAGGCTGGGTATGGAGAGAAGAGAAAGACTGAGACAAAGTGGAAATGAGAAGGATGGTTTAGGAGGATCCTTAGTGATTCTCTACAAATATGGGAAGTGCTCAAGAAAGGAACTGGTGCTTGAACTTGGGTTCTTCTTGCCATTGTGCATATGTCACTGTATGTTATGTTCCATAGAGAAGCAACTTTGAAGGTGGGTTTTTAAGTCAATGCATTTTAGTGTCTTTGTTGATTGGTTTGGTTGCTTAAATGCTAATTCTTCATCATTGCTAAGACAAAATAATAGAGAGAGAGAGAGTTTAAGTGTCTTTGTTGATTTGTTTGGTTGCTTAAATGCTAATTCTTCATCATTGCTAAGACAAAATAATATATATACACACAGAGAGAGAGAGAGAGAGAGAGAGAGAGAGCTGGACTGATTGTAGGGGTGGCAATGGCAGAGGGAGAGCTAGATTAATTGTAGGGGTGGCAATGGACCCGGTCCCGACCCGGGACCTGAGGGGCAGACCCGATCTGGGCTTGGGTATTTGGGCAGATCGAATCTTGGGCCCAAACACTTTTCGGGTTCGAGTTTGGGTTTGGATCCGGTAATTTTTTTTAAGTTTCAATTTATAAAATATATTTAAATATAATTAAATACATAGATATTTTAAATTTAGGTCAATAGGGTCGAGTCAGGTTTGGCTCTGGACCCGACCCGACCCGTTGCCGGCCCTAAATTTAATTGGGGTTGGTTGCTTGCAAGCTAATTCTTCATCATCTCATAAACAAATAAACAAAGGGAAAGAAGACACACATTCTCATTATGATGAGGTTTTGGAATTGTTGGTTTGCTATGTTAGATGGTAGTTGAGTAATTATGATTGCAGTAAGAATGAAGGAGTGATTTAGTTTCTTAATATTCAAGAGTAGCACGGGCAACGGACAGAATGATGGTGGACATGTTGTAATATATGAGGGGTCATGTGTTTTTATGGAAGACTCTTTTGGTATATCTAATGCATTTTAAATAAGGATGATATTTTATAAGACTTTATTTTTAAATACAAGGCGGTCATAATCTTTCTTAGTCACAAATCTGCAATTAGGGAGGTGTTATGTAGTTTGAAAAATTTTATTTTGATCACACACACCTTTAGCAGTTGGTTAATAATGATTATGACCCATGTTTTACAGTTTTGCGCTTTTGTTATCTCTTTAATAATGATTGTGACCCATGTTTTACAGTTTTGCGCTTTTGTTATCTCTTTCGCTTATTTTCTCTCCTTGAATGGGGTTCACACTGCAGATAGATTCCCTCACAACATTATTTCTCCTCCATTGAAAGTGAGAGACAGAAATTAGGGTTCCTGATGGTGTTGATAAAGCAAAGCTTCATGACTTGAGCAAACCCTAATTTGATCTAGACTTGAAAATGGTTATAATTTGTTTTATTTCCCAACATTCCACTTCCTCATACAATATTGTTGCCTAAGTTCGTTTAGATCAATGGATGATGTTACCAATGGATAAGAAGTGTTTATCATAAATGAAAAGGGCAATAGCTTTTTACGTTCGAAGGGATTAAATGGATCCATTTACTGTTCGTAGTTTAAGAGAGAGGAGTGTGTTAAATAGAGAGAATGTATGTGAAGTGGTTTTTGAAATTGTTAAGGGAATGGAAGCCTAGAATTTAGAATAAACTCACGTGGTGTACCACCACAACCCACCTCTCTCTCTCTCTCTCTCTCGAATAGAGAGAGATGCTAGTTTAGCCACGCTTGCATTAGTTAACATGCATATATTTAAAGTCAATATAAATGTGAGCATTTTAAGTTCTAAATGTTTATAACATTTGTAATTATTTTTTCCATGCAAATATTTTTTCATATAAGTTGATTTTGTAGGTCTATATTAATTGGAATTGTATACAATTACATCATTTACTTTTGATACAATGAGGTCCCAAGTACTTATAACCATCTGATGAGAAATTTGATAGCTTGGGTATGTTACAAGTTTTGAAATTTTTGTTTTGAAGTTTGAACTTGGTTATTAGAATCAATACATCCATCCAATTTCATATTCAGTGGTCAAGATTAATTGTGAACACCTTGTACAAAAAGTAAATGGTCTCATTATATTGTTTTTTGTGTTATAAATATTCAGTTTGTAATAATTACTTTAACACATCCCTCATTAATGCACGTCAACATTAACGCATCTCAATTTTTTTTTATAGAATAGTAAAGCACATTTTTTTAATAGTAATTTATTCAATTAATTAAGTATACAGACAAAATACATATTATGAAAAAATAAAAAAAGATAAATTAAAAGAACTGGTGCAGTTGGGTCTCTCGAGGCCTTAGACTGAGGAAAACGTTGGATACAAGTTCATTTGGCACAAGTTGTGACATTGATTGGGAGAGTGCCTTGGAATACGGTCCATAGAAGTACATATCTAACTAAATTCACCTAAAATTTTGGGTGAAAGGTTATATTGCTTTAAAAATTTATAAAGTGTTCCAAACTCAACTTGTTCCATAGTGGGTGTCAAACTGTTTATATACATATTCGATCTTGTTCGTCAGTGGACTAATCTACTTTAGGGAGCTGTTATAAAATTTCAAAATAATTTAAAAGTTTGGCATAATTTAGGAATTTAACGAAAACCCTAAAGGAACTAAAATAGATACTTGTATATAAAATAACTGATATAGGGAAATTTACGTACATACCAGTTTTAGGCTTGTTTATTATGGGATGGTACGCAATTTGCTAGACATTATGTCAGGACCCATAGGCCGTCAGTTTGTGTCCAGATTTCTCTGTCGTTCAATGTTTTCAATATCGAATGGGTAAAAAACTTCTTCTTCTTTTTTTTTTAAAGTTTAATTTAAGGCTATCCAAAATCAGAAATGTTGAACAAACCTATCTATGGGTCAGTTTTGTGTTGTGAACAATGGTTTAAAAACCGGATCAGTGACCCGGATC